GTGATTGTAGTGAGTCTGGAAAGAGAGCCAGGATGACAACTATGCCTCTTACCTTCTTTTCCCTCAGTGCTCCCCAGTCCCTACAGCGTTCCATTCAGACATTTTTTTTTTTTTTTTTTTTTTTTTTTTGGTTTTTCGAGACAGGGTTTCTCTGTGTAGCTTTGCGCCTTTCCTGGAACTCACTTGGTAGCCCAGGCTGGCCTCGAACTCACAGAGATCCGCCTGGCTCTGCCTCCCGAGTGCTGGGATTAAAGGCGTGCGCCACCACCGCCCGGCGTTCCACTCAGACATTTATCTGAGAGACGAAGCAGTTATGTTCACTTCTCTGGCATCATTATCACACAACTTGCTACCTCCTGTTCTCTGCATTCCGGGTCCCACGGCCTGATTGACAGCAACTCTTACCTGCAAGGCTACCTATCAGGCCATCCTATGTTTCATTTGATCTAGCTTCTATAACCTATCCTATATTCTGCATCTGGAGAGAAGAGAGAACTCTTTCCATGGCCTCCCACGACTTTCAGGGGAGAGAGGACACTTCCCAGGCTGGTTCGCAGACTCAGTGATGTCACCTCTCTCCAACTCACCAGAACCAGGACAGCACTTCACCCCAGCCCTGCCTCGCACTCAACTCATGGCCCTTCTTGTTTCATTTGCATGTCACCTCCTGTACCCATTTGCTTTCCCTCCACCCTTCATATGCAAATTCTTTCAGACCTGAGCTTAGATCTTCTATTATAAAAAATCCAACCTTGGCAGCCTCTCGCAGGAAACAGTTAGAAGGCCGTATCCCTGGCTCATATAACCTGAACGTGGCCTAGTGCATTCCTCTCAGTTTCTATGTTTCATACCCGAAACAAATGCTAAGTTGATTGGCAGGCCCTTGCCCAGTTCATGGTGGAACTTCTGGGCCTGGCATGAGAAAGGACAGAGGGCAAGGAAGTTTGCATCAATTCCACACACAAAATGAGCAGGATCCTACTCCACCCACACCAAAGGTGGAAGGTCACACAGATGGATTGATAGTGTCAGTCACCTTTGTGATGTTGCAGTCATCCTCTGCTACAACTTCAGAGACTTCTGTGTAGCCACCTAAAAATGGTCTATGGTTTAGCAGAAACATTCAACATTGCTGAGCACCCATAATCCAGGAAACCCCAAAACATTAGAGATGGCATGAATTCAACTAGCTATCTCCAGTAATATTGGAATTCATATCGACAGTTTCCAGTTGGTTAAATAAAGGGCTTTTTGCAGGCTGGACAGTGCAGCAAAACATTTTACCTGGAGGAGGGGTAGAATGAGGTACCCAACAAATCCCAAGGGCCAAAGATCATGTTCAACACCCTAGCTTCACAAGGAAAGAAAAGAGTTTCTGGTGGCAGTGGTGGCATTAGGCTTTGAAGTGTAGAGTTTTGGACAAGTTCTAAGGTTTAATGGAAAAGGTAGATGGAGAATCAGAGATGGAAGACTACAGATGAAACCCCAGTGAAGAGAGCATAGGCCAGTGTATATGAGCACTGAAACACAAGTAAGCAGGGCCATTGAAATCCTCCAGACCATTTATAGATGATGGAACCGAAGTCTGAAAATGGGGGACAGGTCAAGAGTCCTGTAAGCAATATCAGAAGCAGAACCCATTCCTGATTCAGAAACCAGAACCAGAGCTAATTGTACTCCCCTCCCTCATGGACTCTCACATCTAACCAAAAGGTGTTCACATTCTCTCTCTCTCTCTCTCTCTCTCTCTCTCTCTCTCTCTTCCCTCTTTCCCTCCCTCCTTTCCTCCATCCATCAATTTCAATGACTCTTTTGTAGATGAAATACAGGAAAGAAATAGATTTGGGGCATTTAAAATATTTCCAGAACCTTCTATAATTGGCAACTATATTTTTCATTGGGAAGTCACATGCCATTTTTCTTACTTTATGTTTTCTGAGCCTGTCTGGGAAGGTAACCATCATTATGATATCTTAGAGAAGGCAAGTGGCTGAGGGAATAGAATGATTTACTGAAGGTCACAGAGAGCTAACAAAAAGAGGAGGCAGGGCTTTGGAGTGCACCTCATCTGATACTGTGCAATTAAACTCAGGGACGCTGCTCATTTTCTAGAAGAAATGAGGTAAAAAAAGAGCATGTGCTTGTGTTGAGTACTTTGTGGGTCATGGGAAGGTTTTTTATTTTCTGCAAAGCTATTACTTTTCTCTAAGTGTTCAGCATCAACTGTGAGTTTGATGTCAACAGTCATATGCTACAAATGAGGAAACCGAGGCAACAGGGGAGTCTAGCACCCCAGCTTGCAGTCCTCTTAGGATCTGGGTTCAGTCATAGGCTCTCTGAAGCCTGTTTATACGGCTTCCCATTTGATGAAAGCTGTTAAAAGAGTTAAGCGGGAGGAACAGAAATACATTCTAAATCTAATATACCCTATCTGAAATGCTCAGCAAATGTTATATGAAAGCCATCTAGTGCCAGACTACAACAATTCTAAAGTGTCCCTTGAAAAGATATGGACATTCTAGGACAAAGTTTGTGCCGGTGATTCCCTTCACTCTGCTTCAGCAGGCTGACCCTAAATGATGCACAGCAGACCAGCAAGCATCCCTCAACCTTGCTGCACCCTGGGACAGGAAGGTCCCAGGGACAGGTCTTATGGCACCTCTCCCAGGACAGGTGGTCAGGTTGCTGATGAAGTGCATTCTCTCACTCCGCACCATTCAGCATCGGTTGTGGGGCCACAAGGGAGGCAGGGTGGGCAGAGGCCCTGCCCTCATGGAGCACGGAGTCTAGAGAGAAAAGATGTGTATACAGGCAATGACACAGCACAGTCTGCCAGTCACAACAGGTACTGAGTGTCAGGGAAGCGCGTGAAAGGACCAGGGAAGGCTCTAGAGACCATGGAGCCTTGGTACTGGGCCACAAAAAGAAGGAGAAAGTGAGAAATGGTTACTTTCTGCAACAACACCAGCATGGGCAAATGCACAAGTGCAAAGAAGCAGGGAAGAGCTGAATACCAGGCCTGGCTCTTCTCAGAGATGACAGTTCCCGCAGCAGTGAAATCAAACTGTACAGATTTGGTCAGGCTCATCAAATACATCTGGCGTTACAGAGCAGAGTTGTACTGAAACACTTGCAGCTCACAAAGAACCCACAGTGTGTGCAGCATTTAAAGAACTCCTCACTTTTGGCCAGTGTCCCTTTGCACTATCAGACGCTTGGTCCACTCTGTGCTGCACAGAACTCATTGTTTGAAGAGGATGGAGCACCGCCTTCCATGGCAAAGCTCTTGACCTTCAGCAGACATACACAAGGAGGACACGCAGTGTTTACCCCCATAAAGCCCTCTTTATATTGCCCAGATGTCTCTGGAACAAGACAGTACTCCAGCCATGACTCACTGACTAATCTTTCCACTCTTTTCATAGGTGATATCTATGTAATGCCTTACTAATCTGAGGCTTTTTCTTTAGAAAATGATGCTTTTCTTAAAATGGCATTAGTCATCGGGATTTAAGATCCTTCCCCATTTGTATCCTCTACCATCATATTTGGTTGTTACAAGAGCCTAACAAACTCTAAGGGTTGCTAGAATCCCATTCTGTAGATGAGAGAAGTCCCAACAAGATAGGAGCAATTCAAGGTCATACAACAGGTGTATGATGAAACCAGAGTTCAGACCCACTTCTGACTCCAGAATCTTGCCCTCTTTCCTCTACACTACAGTGTACCACCTCCCTATAATATATTGCCCTCATTGTGGTATAAATCCCCAGATGAAATGCTGGCCAGATCACATCCTCTTGGGTAACATAACTACATCATAAATTAAAAGCCCAATTAAAGAACATATCCTTTTAACTGGGTCTTACCACAGTCCCCTGAGGCTAGGATATAAAAAGAGAACCCATTCACAGTCAGTGGCTACCCATCCTGGAAATTCTTCAGAAATCTGCTCAACTCTATGAAGAGGTTTTAATGCAAATTACTCATCTAACACAATGTGTTCTTCCCATCGGGTCTTCTGGGGTTCTTCTCCCCAACAAACTGGGTTAAGTCGTGTGCCAAAAACTCCAGCCCTCTCCCTGGCCCCAAAGATGCAGTTAACAGTTCATTATACAGTGTACATACCTCAAGTGAATTTAGGGTTTAAAATAAACTTAATATTAAGAGCATTAGAACCTAGTGGAAAACATTGCCCCCTAGTTTATATTAGGGATTGAAGTGGGGTGCTTTTCTCTAGCTGTCTAAAAGTGGGGTGGTTTGACAGTGGCCAAGGGCCAGAGGGTGTCTCTGAGCACCATCCAGTTTTTGTTTTGCTGGCATCAGGGAGGAAGAAAAAGTAGGTGAGGAGAATGTAAGAGACTCTCTTCTCAACACTGGTTGAAAATTTTATTTCTGTTACCATCAGATCCCCCAACAACCAAAGCATCTTATCTATAGCACAGTAAACTCCAGGGGTACTCCTTGGTTCCCAAAGCTTAAGAGTTGCTACTACCTTGTCTAAATATCCCCTGCAGTGGTTGTGTTTAAAGCTGGTTTTACATATAAAGAGCTGTTGTGTGTTACGGTCCCTGTTTGTGCCACAGCTGAACTACACTGCACCCCACCCCTAAAAGAGATGGTCTCTGAGTCAGACTGCCCCACATAGAACAGAGACCATAGCCCCCTCCATCTCAACAAGGTCTTCTCTTGAGCTTGCCCTGGGTTCAGTGGCTCAAAGGACCTGAACAGACAGGTCTAAATGAGCCCCTGGGGAACCACCTAATTCACCCAGTCACATCAGTGTTCCTTCTTATCCTCTCAAGACTTGCCCACATGTGGGGCAAGATCAGAGGACAGAGATATCTGGGAGAAAATAGAGAAAGATAAAAAACACATTTCGCGGCAGAATCCCCACTTAGTAATAGAAAGCCATCCAACTAGCATCCACGCTTCCAGAAACGTCACTGCCACAAAGGAGAGAGTTTTACAGCTGGTGACCCCAGAGCATTCTCACCTACCTGTCTCCCACTGCAGGGCTCTCTCTCACCTCCTAGGGCCCAGTTCCAGCTCTGGTCCCACTCTCTTCTTCTCACCTTCTCCAGCAGCCAACACTGGCAGCGACTGTGGGCGGACCAAGGAGTCCGCGGCACCTGCGAGCTATGTCTCAGGTCTCCACTGTGAGGCTGCCTGGAGGAGGAGCAAGCGGATGCTGCCCTCACCGCCGCCGCCGCCGCCGCCGCCGCCGCCGCCGCTGCCACTGCCGCCTTGGTACTGATGCGGTTGCTATGGTTATGGAACTCCGCAGCTGCCCCCTCTTGGTGCAACAGCTGCCCGGCCACCGCGGCCTCCTGGCAGCCCCAGCTAAGGTGCCCGAGGCAAGGTTGTGAATGTGGTTAAGGAAATTCCTCCCCTGCCTAAGAGAAGAATGGGAGCCTGCACTTGAGCCCTGGCTGGGTCTCCGAGCTCTGCTCACCTCAGCGCCCTTGCGCTTCTCCTTCCCCCACCGGGACCTAAGGCCAGACTCCAGCACCACACAGCGCGCGCTCAAGGCCTAGAAAGCCCTCCCTGCCGCTCGGCTCCGCTCCTGCAGCCTCTGCGCAGGGCGGTAGGCTGTGCGACTGGCTGGGAGGTGCCGCTCCTGTCCCCCACCCCTGTCCGCCAGAAGAGCCTAGACGCACCAGGCTGCCCTGAGGCCAAACCCCGCCTGCTCGCAGGCTCTCCTGCCAGCCAGCCCGGCCTGTGGAGGGCGCAAGATGCAGGGCCAGAGAAGTCCGGCCCCATCCAGCCCAAGCTGGCCAGGAGCATGCTCAGTCCCCACTCTGGGACTGTCCTCCAGAGCCAAGACTGAGATGCAGCTGGAAAGAAAGGGTTCTTTTCAGACCCCAGGGAACAGGGCTATTAAACTTGGAAGAACTCAGGAGAGGCAACAAGTACACGCTGAAAGGCGGAAAGCGCCAATTGACCCATACCACCACTACTAAATATTCAATGGTCCTTAGTCAACAGCTTACCCATCATCTGCAGATGTTCTTCATGCTAGACACTGGAGGTTTAGAGGTGTGCCAATTTGGTCTACGGAAAAAATGAGAACAATCAAAGACATAAGCCAACTCCCATCTGCTGGCCATTCTTCAGCGGGCAGTTTGCCTGGGAATGCATCATCTCACCACGACTGTCAAGAAGTTCGTATGTCTTACTTGTTACAGGTGACAGATCAGCTGTAACGGTGGAACCAGTGCTGGAACTTGGAAGCTCAGTGTTCATTAGACTAGGCTGCCTGAAAGTCCAATTGTAGCAAGAGGGCAGTGAGGGGAAGACACTTGCAAGAAAGTGGGGGTACAGTCAAGGGTGGTGGTGATGAATGGGGAAGATCAATCCAGATTGAAAGGGGCAGGCAGAAGCCCCCAAACTAGACAGACAGGATGGTTGCATTTTGATTTTTTGTTTGTTTGTTTGCTTGCTTGCTTGTTTTTAACCACAGGGGACATCCAGTAAGGCTAGAGAGGGCAAAGGAAGCAGAAGGAGCCAGGGAAGGTGAGACACCAGCTAAGTTCACACCAAAGACTGGGGAAGCCAAGAGAAAGGGTTAGACTTGACTTTGAACACAGTGAGGACACTGAAGACATTTAAGCAAGGGAAAGGCTAGGCCATCACATGAAGAAGATTGCCTGCTTGTCTACTGTGGTCATGAGTGTTAAGCTGTCACGGTGTTACCCTGAAGGGACTGTTGACACAGAGACCAGAGCAAATGACCCATCTGCTTTGCTGATGCTTCCCCACAGCATCTAGCCAAGGTTGGAACAATGCACACCCGAGTAAATACTGGAAGAATGGCTAATAAAGGGATATTTATTTCCCCATCAGGGAAAATGCTTGCCTTTCTTTTGCAAATATTTGTCCTTGAAATATGATGTAAATCAGATGACATTTATTCTGCATTTCAGGTCTGTGCAACCTTACTTTTGAAAGTCAAAGTAAGCCTCCAATGTGGTTTTTTTTTCTCTGCACTTATTGGTCTCCAGCAGAGCAGGTATGCTGGGATTATTGTTCCCTCGTATTGGAACATGCCTCAGGCATCTGGATTAGAAAGCTCTATACTAGGTTAAATGGGAAAAAAAAAAAGCAGAGTGCAGAATAATGTTTCAAACAGCATAGCTCTCCTGAATCAAGGAGAGAAACCATCAGGCAAATTTGTTTTTTTTTTTTGTTTTTTTTTTTTTTTTGTTCTTGTATTGGCATAGAAATACACTGCGGGGAGGGGCCAGGTAAGAAACTTGGAGAAACAGCCAAGGCCAGTAAGGGAGAGAACTAACTGAGCAGATAAATTTGGAGTGGGAATGAGACTTTCAAGGTACTCATCTGTAAAACATTTTCGCGGTGAGAAAGAGAGGATTTCATATAATTCAGCCTACTCTTAAACTTTTTATGTTGCCAAAGCTGGTCTTGAACTCCTGCTCCTGCTGTCTCTATCTCACAAGGGCTGGGATTACAGGCTTATGTCACCAGGCTTGAATTCTGTAAAACTGTTTTTAATTTTTGATACAAAGAAAAAAATTACATAGATTGTGTGTGTGTGTGTGTGTGTAATCTGTTACATGTTACAATCAGATATATCACCAAACCCACTTCCTGTCCCCTTCATGGCAAAACAGCATTAAGGATTATTTCTATGAAGCTCTTCCTCTTAAAACCCTACTTGTGGATCAGCCATCATGATATTCGTCAGGCTTTTGGCTGGAGTGACGGCATCTGGGTCCAGCCATCCTCTGTATTATACCCTCCTTGTAGCACCACTTCTTAGATGGTGCATTTGTTTAAACTGTTAGCTTGACACAATCTAGGAACACCTGTGAAGAGAATATCAATGCAGTGGGTATTACCTTGATTATGTTAATCATGGTGGGAGACCTGTTCACTGTGGGTGGCACCATTGCCTAGGCAGAGGGACATTAATTTTTCCCTGCTACGGAGTTTAGATGATTTTATCCACTCCCTCAAGCTCTTGTTCCTGGGACTTCCATGCTATCATGGACCATAACACAGAACTCTGAGCTAAAATAAGCCCTGTGTCCCCTAAGCTGTTTTTGCCTGGGTATTTTATCAAAGCAACAAGAGATGACGATAAGATAATTCCCAAGCCCAGAAAAACTAGACAATGCAAATAGCCTCTAAGGAAAAGTCCCACTGAAGTCTACACTGAGGCTCACTAAAAATTAATCTAAAGCAGAAATTACAGATGCTGCTCAGAGAATGAGTCCTTCCCATCAAATCACAGAAGCTAGAGACCTCCGAGTCTCCTAGGCACCCTTCTCTTTGCTTCTCTCACCTAACAACATCTCATTAAACACAAGCTTGCCAGTTCCACAATATGAGTATCTTTCAAAATCATCTATGGAGGAGACCAGTGAGAATTCTAAATCTGGTTCATCAGGGACTTTGGTTATAAAAAAAAAAAAATTAGAAAAACGGGCATAGCCTTAGCTTTATGTTTAGAGGTAACCAGTCGTATTGGATAGAGGGAGATTGATTCCATGACAGATATTGCCTTGCCCAGTCCCAGGGCTGATAAAGAATTAGATGATAGTAACTGTCCCTTTGAAGGTGTGAGCATCAAAATATGCAGTCTGGGATGTAAGAGACCAACACTTTCCCTGAGGTTGACTCTGGGGTTCAGGTCATGATTTTCTCCCTTAAAGAAGCAAAGGGGACTTGAGATTGTTGTGGGTGAGCAAAGACTCCATGAAGAACAGCCAGCATCCCTGGTTAGGAGGCAAGTTTTCAATAGTGACACCCTGTGGTATTGAGAAGTAAATGTCACGAAGAGCTCTCAGACAACACACTATACATGTGTGGAGAGAGCCAGAAGGCCTTTTCTTGGAAACGAACAAGCCTCATGATTTCAGGTCAGTCTGGGAGGAACAAGATCCCCACACACAAAAAAAGAGAGAAGCTCCTGGAATGATTATTTTATGTATATGAGTGTTCTACCTACACATATGTATGTGCACTGCATGCATGCTTGGTGCCTACAAAGGCTAGAAGTAGGCTTCAGATGCCCTGAAACTGGAGTTAAGGTTGGTGGTGAACCACCATTGAGGTGCTAAGAACTGAGCCTGGTCCTCTGTGAGAGCAGCCAGTGCTTTTAACCATTGTGTCGTCTCTGCTGTGTTTGTGAATGGAATTCTTAAGTAAATAGTCTCTGTTTTATCCTTCTTTCCCCAACTTATACCACAATATGGAGAACATACAGATGATATTTAAAACAGTATTTGAATAGATTTAAGATTTGTTTTTTTCCCAATGTGGTTTTCTTGCTTGCCAATACAAGTAGGCTAATTTTAAAAACTTCCCTGTCTTTATGACAGTTGTGCAGTGGCTATGTCTGAACAATTGACTAAAAGATGAAAGGATGCCTAGGTTCCTCTTGGCTTGTTTGGCATGGATTTGGGAGGGAACCTAGGAGATGTAACTCTGTTAAGCTTTGGGGAAGCTCTTTGTCCACATAACAGTTCAACCCCAGAAATCTGCTTTCAAAATGATGTATTTATTTTTGCCTTATGTATGTAAGTGCTTTGCCTGCATGTGTGTTCCTGATGCCCACAGGGCCTGAGAAGAGTTTCAGATCCTCTGAAACTGGAGTTACAGATGTCTGTGTGTCTGCCACTGGAACTAAACCGGGTCTTCCGCAAAGTTAAGAGCTCTTAACTGCTGAGCTCTCTCTACAGTCTTGAATCCACATTGTTTTAAGCGCATGCTACAGTCCATGCTTTCTCTGGAGTACATGTAACAGTAACCATAGCAAGCACATGGGAGAATGCTTCCTGGGCACTCGCTCTGTCCCAGACACTGTGTCTAACCTTGTGGAGCCATTACAGTAATTCTGGGCTAGCCCTGTGATGAGGAAACTGAACCAAAATGGTAGACTTAGTTGAGTCCCCACAAGTATGGTAGTTAGGTCAGGAGTTGGGTTGTGAGTCCTTGCTCCTTCCCATAGCATAAGCACCTTAGGGTGCCTCCTGGGATTTGTTTCCATTTTCAATGGAGTTTCTATTCATACATTGCCCAGGTGTCTCATCAGCATCCTGCAACACAGTGCTCTCAACCTCGGCATCCTTAGGAGTTGCATCCAGGCGATCCTTAGCCCCAAGGGGCCATCTATACACTGTAGGATGCCTAGCAGTGATCTAGGCACCAACCTACTATATGCTAAAAGAACGTCCACCTCCTCATCATGACCCATCTCCAGAAACTGACAATTGTCCCATAAATCTAACTGGGCCCTCACTTACAGTACAAAGAACAAAAGTGATGTGTCACCTCCCATATGTATAGAAAGTAGGTCTAACAACAGCACATCTGCATATAAGCATCTTCTCTTGTATCCACATGACTGAAAACAAAATGCTAAATAAAAGCAGCCAGCAGGGTTCATTCAGAGCAGGCCTGGTTAGACTCCTGAAATCCTCTCCGATGCTCCAAACAGCAATGACACAATGGACTACGTCCTACTTAGAATTTTTTTTTCTGCCAACTTGATACAAGCCATGTTCAATGGGGAAGAGAGAATTTCAATGGAGAAAATGTCCCTATTAGATTGTCCCCTGGAAAAGTCTGTGGTGGCATTTTCTTTATTAGTGACTAATGTAGGAGGGTCCAACTCACTGTGGTCCTTGGAGCTATAAGAAAGCAGACTGAGCAAGCCAGTAAGCAGCATATCTCCATGGTCTCTACTTCAGTTCCTGCTGGCTCCAAGCTTCTGCCTGGAGTCCTTAATCTGACTTCCTTTCATGATTGACTACAACTGAAAACTGAAGCAATTCCCCAAGTTGTTTTCAGTCACGGTGGTTATTACAGCAATGGAAAGCAAACAAAGACAGACTATGAAGGTTGATGAAATGGACTCATTTTATATCACTGAGACTTGAGTTTACCTGTATAAATGTCTTGGAGTACCCCATTTGACTAAGGTTAACAGAGAAACAGACTTCTAACCACCAGTTAATTATCCCAAAAGCACACTCAGATTTCCCATGACCACAGCATGCAATAGATTCCATTGTTTACCATCTAATCATATCATAGAAGAGGAAACTGAGGCACAGCTGGATAATAGAGCTATTCTAAGTCAAAAAGTGTGGTCTCAGCATCTATATACTTGACCCCCATTCTGATACACCTTAATAAAAGTCTGTGCACTGGATGGCTGACAAAATTCAAAGCACATGACATGAATTTATCACCCTTACTGATTGATGTCCATTGCTTTACTGTTGAGAATGCTTCAGTAACAAAAACAAGATAGGTTAGTTGGAACCAAATATTTTGTATCTTTGAGAATATCTGCGACTTTGAAAACCAAAGAAAGGTTTCTTTTGAGCAGACAGTGAGCTCCATTAAAAACAAACATCTTAAGTATGAGCTAATGATATTATTTGCAACTCCATAAATAAAATCATATATATATATATATATATATATATATATATATATATATATATATATATATATTCCAAGATTGATGAATCATTCCATTAATGATGGCAGCACTTTGGGGACAAATTCTTCCTTTTATAAAGAACATAGCCTTGGGAATATTCCAGGGCAGTTTCACTTCTGATCGAAGCATTTGAGACTTCAATAATGTTTCTGCCTGCAGAAACTCCAGGCCCTGTTCCAAGGCATATCCTCGGTGAGTTATAAAGAAGGGGTAAGGTTTATCATGAGCCTGATGTTTCCTTTCTCCTTATTTTTGAGACTTGTTTCTTCCACCTTGTAATCGGATATGAACCCTTTCCCTGTAAGTGGTCCAGGACTTTAAATGTAACCCTGGCAAA